GACAAAACTAAATTAGGAAGGGAGCTAAAACCTAAACGCGACAAAGAGAAGACTCAGATCACGACTAACTTATGTCTACAACACAAACAGTAGAAGTATGAGAAACAAAATGGATGAAATCAGGGCGTTGGTATGTACTAAAACAAGTAGATATAATAGCATTCACCAAAACTTGAGATAAACTTAGTCACGTGATTTACCTGTCGAATACCAAATTGCAGGTTACAAATTATTCCATACCGATAGGCAGATTAGGAAAGGATATGAAGTAGCAATCTATGTCAGGGATAATCAGAAGTGTGAAATAAATAAGGAAATAAAAACTGAATTGAATACAGAAACACTTTGGATATAATTAATTGATGGTAGGGAAAAATTAATCACAGGAGTAATATATAGACCTCCTAATCTTGATAGAGTTAATGAGCGACTTATTTGGGATGAAATGCGCAAGGCATCCAGACATAGCAAAGTCTGTACTGTATAGTAGGCAACTTTAACTTTAGCCAAATTGATTGGATCGACCTTACAGGTAACTCAGCATCACAGGATTTTCTTGAAACAGTTTAGAACTGTTTCCTAAGTCAACATATAGCTGAACCCACCTGGGGTAATAAAATACTCGATTAAGTCTGTCAAACAGAGAAAACCTCCTTAGTAATGCCAAGGTGAGGAATGAACGTGCAAACAGTGATCACAAAGAAGTATGATTCAAATTCGAATTTAATTTCAGTCGCAAGGAAAATTCCATTAAGTCCCAGATTTCAGAAGGGCAAACTTTGATAGGTTGAAAAGGCGGCTGAGAGAAGGGGTAGCACGTTAGGGGGTGAATTACATGACCTCACATGAGGTGACCCCACACAATGTACCCACAGAGGGCGACCTCACTTTACCTGGTAACCTGATAAATATAACCTCACAAAATATGACGGTTGAGGATGACACGATCACAAGATCTGAGGTTGTCAAGTTCCACAACAATTTAAATACTGTAATGAGTTACTTAATGCACAAAGGCAGAACATACTATACAGAAAACTCAGATCAGACAACAATGACCCCAAATGGATAGATAATTATTTAAAGAATATTATTGGACAAAGGAAGGCTATAGGTAGGAGAATAAATCGTGGTGAAGTTTACCTCCGAGATTATTATCAGGTATTGGCCAGTAGGGTTAAGACCGAGATAAGAAAAGCAAAGAGGAATAACGAACTGAAGGTAGCAAGGGAGGTGAAGTCAAACCCCAAGGGATTCTTTCAAATGTATCAAGCTAAAACACGAGAAAAGATTGGACCAATACATTTAGATAGCGGCAAGCTAACTAATAACTACGAAGAAATGAGCAATAATCTGAAGAGATATTTTTCAACAGTTTTCACCACCAAACATTTAAACATGATGCCCAAGGCACCGACTACAGACAGAGATAGTGAAGAAAATAGATTAAGCAAGATAGAAGTGACTAGTAACGATGTTAGTTAGCAAATAGACAGGCTAAAGCCTAATAAGTCACCAGGTCCTGATGAGATATTTGCCAGAGTATTAAAGGAATGTAAGGAAGAGCTTAGTCTGCCCTTAGCAAATTTGTTTAACATGTCCTTAAAAACGGGTATAGTACCAGAATCCTCGAGGATAGTGAATGTAATACTGATTTTCAAGAAGGGAAATAAATCACTTTCCTCTAACTACAGTCCAATCAATTTAACATCAATTGTAGGCAAATTCCTGGAAACATTAATTTCAAACTTTATTCCAAATCACCTGGAGAAGCACAAGTTGATCAATGATTCCCAACATGGTTTGACAAGTGGGCATTCATGTCTAACTAAACTATTAACATTCTTTTCAGCTGTTTTTGAATCAGTGGATGATGGGCACGACTAGGATGTGGTACATCTTGACTTTAGCAAAGCCTTCGACAGAGTCCCCCACGAAAGACTAATAAGAAAAGTGGAGGCTCATGGCATTGCAAAAAAAATTCTAAAATGGATTAGGGCGTGGTTATAGGACAGGAAACAGCGAGTGACTATTAATGCCAGTAAATCCGATTGGAGTAACGTCACTAGTGGAGTACCCCATATATATCGACGTAGACAGCAACATAAGTAAATTTGCTGATGATACTAAAATAGGGTGTGTAATTAAATATGACGAGGACTCCGCAAAACTACGGGAAGACCTTAAAATTTTTTTCCAATGGTCTGAAAATTGGCAAATGAAATTCAATGTGGACATGTGTAAAGTACTTAGTCTAGGAGATGTAAACAGAGAAACCAGATACCAGATGAACAACGATGTTATAGAGAAATCTGACTGTGAGAAAGATTTAGGAATAATGATAAGTAGGAATCTTAAACCAAGTAAACAATGTACAGTAGTACCCTGCTTAACGCGGTCAATTGAACCCACAGGGTACCGCGTTAAGTGAACAACAGAACATATGGGATTAATTCCAATAGAGACTGGCCCGACCCCCAAACTCCACTTTTTGACGACACACAACTATGTTGTAGTAAAAATATTATACAGTAAAAGTCCAAAAATCCGGATGCCAGAAATCCGGACCACTTGAGAATCCGGACTTTTCGAAAACTCAAACTTAACTTTTTTTTTTTTTTTTTTTAGCTGGCTTTTGTGTGCATGCGTGAGCGCCACAGCTGCACAGCGACCACGCGGTCGCCACTTAAAACGAGCTATCAAACTGTGACAACGTATGTAATTTTGAATCCTACTCATTCCATTTACAGAGTACTGTACAAGCCCATAATAATGGCTCCTAAAGTAGATAAACTTCGTTGTGTGAAGAGAAAGAAGAACACTTTGAAATTGAGTGACAAACTTGAAATAATTAAGAAACTAGAACGTGGTGTGAGCAATACTGTTCTAATGGAAACATATAACATTGGAAAATCTACAATTTATGATATAAAAAAGGCAAAGAATAAAATTTTGGAATTCACAGCTTTATCTTTAAAACTGCTCTTTTAGATAAATGAAGCATGCTATATTTGCTAATGAATAAACTATCAAAATGTACCTGTTCATCTCTTCTTTATTTCTCCTGAAATTTGAATTTTAAAAGTACTGCCTGAGAATCCGGAAAATCCGAAAATCCGGACTGACCCAATCCCCAAGCAGTCCGGATTTTTGGACTTATACTGTATTAACTTTATGATGGTATGCACACACAATTAATAATTAAGAAAAATATCAATAATATTAGGTTTTTTAACACTTACATTAGTAGAAAAGATGGCTGGGCACACGGGGATGGGGGGTTGGTTCCGAGGCAGAGGGCAGATTATTGGCCCTCACCTGTATCACTTGTATCAATTGTATCACTATCCACCACAGAGGCTTGCAGGGCCTCTTTGTCAAACCCCTCAAAGTCCATATAAGTCCATATCCTCACTATAATTATCACTATCAATGACTTGGGCCGGCTGTGGTGGGTGGCGGGTGAAGAACTCGGTAATGTTTTGATGACTGGGCGACCTTGTGCGCATCGTGCCCACGCCGCTTCCCGCGTATATGAGTAGATGAACTGCGTTAAGTGAAAGTTCGGTTCTGGCGAGGCACCGCGTATATGAGAAATCGCGTTAAGTGAAACCGCGTTAAGCGGGGTACAGCTGTATATTTGCTCAAAACAAGGCTAAGTACAGCTGCTCCCCAACTTACAACGGGGTTAGGGACCCATATCCAGGTCGTAAGTTGAAATGATCGTAAGTCGAAAATGCTTAAATAATACATAGAAAATCTAAAATGGGTGACTCTTTTTCTTCTCAGCACCACAAAACTCTCACTTTTAAGCTTGCCAGCCATATTAATGTGAATTACAAACGAAAATTTTGTCAGTACTGTACACAGCGCAATCACTGACGTTGGAACTCGAAAATACATAATTTGACAAAGTTTTGGTGCGACTGAGGCGGTCGTATGTCCGGGTGGTCGTAAGTCGAGTAGGTCGTAAGTCGGGGAGTAGCTGTACTTGGGTTCATTCAAAGGAGTGTTATTTACAAGACTAGCGAGGTTATCCTAAAATTATATCTTGCACTTGTGAGATCTCACTTGGATTACGCAGTTCAATTCTGGTCACTGTACTACAGAATGGATATAGAATCCCTAGAAGGAATTCAGAGGAGAAAGACAAGACTATTCCCGGGCATTAGGAACTTTGGAAACAGAGACGGGTTAAAGCATCATAATTTGCACTCCCTCGAGAGACGTAGAGTGAGGGGTGATATGATCAAGGTGTATAAATGGAAGTCAGGGCTAAACAACGGTGACATTACGAAGGTACTCAAACTATCTAACCATGAGCGAACTCGTAACAATGGTTTAAAATTAGACAAATTTAGATTTAGGTGCGAAATAGGTAAACATTGGTTTGGAAATAGAATAGTGGACAAGTGGAACAAGTTACTAAACATCATCATTAACTTGAATACGCTAGACTGCTTCAAACATAGGTTGGACGGATATACGAGCGATAGGAGTTGGGCGTAAATGGGACTGTCCAGTATGGGCCAATAGGCCCACTGCAGTTTCCTCCATTATTATGCTCTTATATCATGCCCAAACTCTCATGTCATATAAACCAGAAAAATCACTTGGAAAAATCTGCCAGTGTGTGTTGTGACGGCACCGAGTGTGAGCTCTTTCATGACCGGACTTGATAAACACTGGAGCACTTTCAGATACATTCAGGAGCCGGTGCATGCCCAGTTCTTGCCAACAGTGCATAACAGAGACATGACCGACTGCCCAAGCGGCTAACAAGCCGATCAGTGACAAAGAGGATAAAAGTAAAAAAGTAAAAGTAATATCAAATACTATTTGATGGCTTGTAGCTTATAAGATGTCACACTGCAATTAATGTAATCTTAATGTCTACATCTGCAAAGGGGCATGCAACTGTAAAGTTATCATATGTGGTAAATTGCTTTAAAGATGTTTGGTTATAAAAATTAATGCCATAGGCATTAAAAAAACAATACTTGAGAGACTGCTTTATTAACATAGTACAGTACAGTATATTAAGTGAATATGGCATAGCATTAGTGACTGTAGTGTAGGATTTAAAAACACCACAGGTAAGTTACCATATGAAGAAGTTTGCACCTTTTACTTTTAAGACTGTATTCAGTATGCGTCATTAACACATGAGTTTTACAAAAAACACACCCTTATCAACAAGTTCTCCTTGTCAATTGGAGCTTTTACTATGGACCAGATGTTTGACATATGATTGTCTTCATTCAAGAGAATAAATCTTGTAACCTACATTTCATAACAATCACAAAACTGTTTCACAGACTATCCATGTCACACTGTAAGCTCCTTGCCTGTCTAAATTGCCCAATATTTCTCACTAACACTGACACTGCTACTGTCAGACATCTCTCAATATTATGTGTTAAGATAGCTTGCAATTTGGTAGTACATGGCCAAGGAATTCCAGTCTTGAACAGCCTTTCAAGATACTTTGAAATATTTATTTAGAAGCATTAAATAAAGAAAAGATCATTTACAATTAAAAGCAAGTACTGTAACAACAAAGACATGATGACTATGGAAATACCTAAATTAAGGCGAATGTGAGCAGAAAAAACTGTCTTGTCATTTTTCTGAGAACTAATAAAATTTTATTTGTGGCGCCTCACTATTCAGTGATTTTATACAAAATCAGACTATATGGTTAGTTTCATATACTATTTATGACTCCATAGTTAGTCTCACATCTGAGCAAAATCCCAAAATGAAAGTATTGGTAAAAATGACTGAGAAAGCCAAGTAGTTCTTTATGCACAAGGGCATTAATGAACACATCTGATGGGTTATTAAGCAGAAAATATCTAGCCAATCACATTTTAATGATACAAGGGACAGCCAAAAAATTTAGCAGAAGGTGTACTGTGGCAGGTTTCAACAGGACAGATTCCATCAACATATGTTGGATGTATACAGTGATGGTGCCCCCTCATATGTCCAAGTAACAAGATGGGCCACAGAATGACCATAGAACAGGATTATCTTCATGTGCCAGTGACAAGGCAACTGTGCCCCAGGTAAAAATTTTGATTATGGGGAGTTGGTGGTACAGTGGTAACACGCATAACTCTCACCAATATGTCAAGGGTTCGAGCCTCAGCCCTGATACATGTGAGAAGGGTGTTATCCAGTGTGACCTTACCAAACACCACAGGTTTCTTTGTTCCTGGTTTCCTCCTGTACTAACACTCGTTAGACCAACTGCCCAATCAGCTGGTAAGCTGATAAGTGACAAAAATTATATAAATCAGTACAGGTATCCCTCTAGATACAAATGGGTTAGGTTCCCCCAAAAACATTCATTAGGTGAATTTTTGTATCTCGAATAGAAAAACATATGGGAAAAATAGGGTTCACTTCCCCAATGATTAAAAACACCCCCAAAATACAACATCGGTCCACAAACAAGAAGAACATACCAAACTAATGGTAAATAGTACACAACTACTGTAATTTAGTACCTAACACATTAAAAACGTTAATAAAATAATATCTAAATGAAAATATGCAGATAAAACTGTCAGTGGCACCATTTGCATAGACTATGGCTGCTTCACCCGTGGCCACCATCAAGTGTTGTCATAGCAACCAGCCCAGCCACCTCTGCTGATTCTTAGCAACACTCCATCCTTTATTCTCATACACAAAGAAATGTTTATTCCCTTTATGTTTTTTACCTTATGATAGTCATTCCTTTAATTTTTTTTTTGCACATTATGTATGGGGGATTGTGTGTGCGTGTAAATGAGTAAAAAAAAAAAAAAAAGTTAAGTTTATCTATCCACTTGAGTTGGCAATGCAGATGGGACGCCATCAGAGCAAACAAGCTCCACGGCATCCAATTTGCTTTGGGTGCCTGGAGATATCAGAGATTGTCACGCCGCTGGGAGACTGCTTTGGCCTGCCTTCGCATTGGCCAGATGCAGCCGACTCATGGTTTTTAATGGAAGGTGCCCCCTTCCCACTGTGATGACTGCCTGGTCCCAGGGACTACTCGACACCTACTGGTGGAGTGCCCCAGTCTGACGAGATCTTTGTCATAAGCACCTCTCCCGGTACCAGGGAGGAGATGGGTCTTATCATCTCTCTTTGGTACTGGAGGAGGGAGCAGGTAGCATGGAAGGGGACACCCTCTCCTTCGTGGAGGAAGCTGGTATACTACACAAGATTTAAGTTTTATTTAATAACATTTAAATGTCTTAATGAAAGTTTTATGCTATTTATTATCTTTTTAGTTTTTTTTACCTTCTAAGCTTTAATTTAATTCAGCGGCATATGGCCTAAACTGTTGCATCGCCAGGGATGTAATTACCACAATCAATCAATCAATCCAAAAATGAGTTGAAAAGTAATCATAACATAACTTCCTCTCAGTTCATCCTGCTAACTCTCGCTGGTGCACGAAGAAATATTTATCCCCTTCATGTTTTAACCTTATAATTAATATTTTATGTTTGTAGGATTGTGTATGCATGTAATTGAATGAAAAAAAAAGTTGTTGTTTATGCACCAGAAATTATGAGTTGAAAGTAGTATCCATAACTCCTACCGCAGCCTGGTAGGGAGAGTGCGAAGAGGATGTGACCACCCCAGCTGACTCCCGGAGGCTTTCGATTTGAATTTTTGCCGGGACCCAAATTTGCAAAAGATTTTGTAACATGAAAAAGGTGGTAATTTAGGAAATTCGTATAAGATAATTTTCTTATCTCAAGGGATACCTGAAATGAACATAATGGTCAATAAGAGTAGCACAGATATTGGAATTTTACAGAGGGGTGCTGTGACCACCATTTATGAGCACTTCAGCATGTCTAAGATAAGGTATCATGAAGCAAAAATGCTCTGGATTGAACACCACAGAGAATTTTCAAGTTGTAACCCGATGAACTGCATGAAACCAATCCAGCCAACAATATTTCCCATCTGGTTATTGGGAATGAGACATGGATCTATCTCTCGGACCGCATGTCTAAGTTTCAATCCACGTAATGGAAGCACAAGACTTCTCTTCTTCCCAAAAAAGTTCCAAACACAATCTGAGTTGACAAGATCATGGTTTCAATTTTTGAGGATGCCAAAAGGATTATGTCAATAGACTAAATGCTGTGTAAAACAGTGACCACAGTTTACTATTAAGCTAGCCACATAAAACACTGTACAACATCATCAAGAAATAATGGTGGGAAATTGTGACCAGATGTGTGCTTCTGCGGTAAGTTAGTACAGTATACAAGTCCACAAGGCCCATGTTACATAAACTGCGATTTATGTCTGTGGTTTTGAGCAGCTCACTTGGGGTTAGGTCTGGCCCCAAGTAATTAATGTCCATTGCAAAAACTGAAGTCACATCTGTGTTATCACCACTTTGAAGATGTGGAGGAGCTCAGAGAGGCAACTGAAGCTTAGTTTAACCAGCAATCAGTATTATGATCTAAGACTGGCAAAATAAGCTTAAAGGACAAATTGAGAAATTACTTCAAAGGACACTGCACTGATAATTGTTTTAGTTTTCTACTGAAACTTTTTGACTGTCCCTTGTATTCTAAAAATAATCAAAAACAAACCTAGAGAAGGTACTGTACGTATATACCTCGACCTAATGATAGGACCAGCATGAAACTTGTAATGTATCTGAATAAATTTCACTTCACAGAAGGACAGACATGAGTAATATACCCATCAAAAAATAATAATACAGTAATCACAATTAAGATTAATATACATTAATATACAATAAAACTTATCATATTTTAACATCAGAAACAGAGATTCCAGCCAACAACAGCACAAATAATCTTGACAATACAAATGTGAGCTGGGACCATAGATAAAATTCAATAATCAATGTGATCCTCCACACACTCTTAACACTGACAAATGGTAACAAGAGAGACTTATGGTAAACTGTATATGCTTCCAAACATGCAGCTAAGTGTAGCATTAATCTTAGTTTTATAAGACCTGGTACTGAAGAATTTGTGGAGCATACTGTTAGAATTTAAGATACTCTTCTCCTGTGTATTACCAACATTTTGAGCACTATAACATTTATTATAGGTCCTACTTGGTTTCAGTGACATTCTGACTGATGGTCATTGATAACACCTGGACCAATGAATGATTTTATTGGAGATGATGTTGAGAAGCAGCATTTAAATTCTATTAGATGACCATGAGAGCCTAGCACAATTACATGACAACTGTCACCAATGAACAGTGAGCCGCGGAGGATTAGTAACGAAGATACAGTATAGTGTATACAGTATTTCAACCATAGTTATTAAAATAAAATAGTAGTAAGCTTTAATGAATTAAAAGTTCAAAGCACACTGAAGAGCTTAAAAAATCTGTAATCACGATTTCTATGTTAAACTGATTACTCAAAAAGAACTTCCTATTGCACTCAAGACATATATTTGACTTGTCTACATTAAATATCCTTCCTCTTGGTTACTGCCCTGTTGGGTTTTAAATTATGTTAGCATTGTCAACCTCCCTTTTTCTTCATGCTAACATAATCTTAAAAATATATACACTGTACTGTGATATCAATATCATTTGTATTTTGTGCGAATATATTTGAAACAGAAAGTGTGCACTGTAGTGTAATACATACTCAAACTCCATGTTTGACCAATACTATTTTTTAAAATATGAAATAAAATAAAACATAACTTTGCACTTTAACTGTCAATGTAAAATTATTGCAACTTGAAACATAAACATAAAGACCAATTTAATCATTAAAATTTAAGTCAGAATCCCTTATCGATTTTTCTGTAACAAGTTAACATCTGATGTTATGGCCCATTCTTTCGCTGTACAACTCAAGTATGCTATGTATGTTTTCTTCAAGAGTTGAATTCATATTCCCTACTTAAACAGTTTGAAAACTTGTTAACTGTAGACTGCACAACTTTTAAAATCTTGTGATCATATATAATTTCATCAATTAATTTTAATGACTATACAGTACAATACCATGGATAAATATAACAAATCCATAATACAGTACTTGCCTCAAGTAATATGGTAGCCACCTCCAATTCTAATCCTGCAAAGTCTAAATATATTTTCAACCCTTGACAGTACGAAAATACAAAACCAACACACAACACTTCACGAGCAATAAATTTTTGATACTGTAATGAGCAATAAGATTTGTCTATGCAATAAGGATGAATGCCTAGGGTGAACGTCCTACATGCTGGATATTTTACAAAGACTAAGTAGAATGGATAAAACTGCTTGTCTTTGCCTATTGCTAAATTACTGTGACATACATCCCCAGCCTCACTGCCTCTATTTACTACAAATAAAGAAATAATCAAAGTCAGTGGGGGGATATGTTTTCTTCTCTTTGAATATATATAAATTTTTCTCTGCTTTCCTTTTATTCGATTTTTTATTCTCTTCATTAAACTGGCTATGTCAGACTGACATTGTTTCCTTGCTATACCATTATGATACTGTCTTTTGCCTATATTTTCAGTAATCATTGAAATCCTTGTCTTTAACAATTGATAATGGTAATAATAAAATTCTGATTCCACCACCTCAACATAGGCCTCCAACTTCACATTGCTTGTCTTCAACCAAAGAGCTTGTCGAAGCATCCGTGACAGTACGGTTTGTCGTTTTGTTCCTTGAAGGTACCTTTGTTCAGTTGCTTCAGGCAGAAAGAACACACAAAGTGTTCTGGGTGGTATTTCCTGAACATGGCTGTGATGCACCGCCCTGTGAAAAGTCAGTAATTTAGTGTGGTATAGTGAGGCAATACAGTGTACAGCATATTAAAAACAGTTTCAGTACTGTATCAACAATTATCTTTTACCATGAAAGCATTTTATAGAAAATAGCCCTTCTATGTAAATGTAAATAAATGCCCTGAAGGTGATGATGATTTGTTTTAAGAATGTGAGTTTCACCAAGATGGAATATTGTACATGAATAGGAAAGTAATGCAAGTCTGGGAGAGATGACAAAGCAATGCAAAAAGCACAACAGCTAAAGGGAGTACATTGTATTGCACAGTACACTGAAATAGGTAGGTAACAAACCAGTGATGGGCTTGCTGCATCCTGCACAGAGAGAACCCCGCTTGGCATGGTAGTGGGTCTCGCAGTATGGCATCCCCTCGTGATCGAAGAATGACCCTCCATTGAATGGCTGCCGGCAGTCCTGCAAATACACACACACACATACAACACTTAATAAAAAATTTGGTAATGGCATCAAGAGAGGGTTATCAAAAATAGCAGGCAAGGAGAAAACAAATCAACATGGGTGTAATGGTGTAACATTCTAGACTTACATGGATAAAGTATCAGTTTCAAGAACTCACCTGTTACACATAAAATATTAAGGCATTACTATTGAAAATGTCAATTTCTTTAGTAGAGGTTGCATGATGTTGACAATGAAATCCTGGGGAGGGAGTGGTATATAGCTGCTATCTTAGGTTTTAGAAAAATAGCTTTGTTCCCTGGTAACTATGTGAGCTTTGAGCCAGAAATTATGAGCTGTACCTGCTTTACTAAGAAAATGGGAGGTAAAGAGATTAATTTTCTGTCTGAACTGAATGAGTAATATGGAAAGAATGATTTATCAATGAACAAAGGACAGTCTACTTAATCAAGGGATAGTTAGGATAGTGGTGAGGAACCTCTACTTTTGGTGAAAAACGCAGCAGCTTTTTTCCCCCGGTGAGAGTTAGAAGTCAGTGGTTAAATGAGAGGGTTAACATAGAGAGGATAAGAAGAGTACAGAAGTTTGATTTGTTACTTCCTGCAGATGTTGCTAAAGGAAGGGTAGACCAGAGAGTTGTGTTGAGGGAAAAACCTAACAAGAAAGTTTCTAAGCAATGTGTCATGACTTTAGAAGGCATACCCAATCCCTGATAAAGGTACAGTACTCATCTTCCATTATCTGTGGAAGGTGCTCTTGGAACTTGCTAACGGTCAGACAATTCAAAAGATTGTTGATAATGAACTTAATTTTGGGACTATTATATGCATAGTTCCTCTTTTAAGTACAATCATTTCAATGTAAGTTTGGATGAAGCATTTTGGTGCAGTTAAGTTGTAAAAAATTCATCCTTCCTGAATTCCTGCCCTTTTTCACAAAACAAGCATTTGTTCTTACAAGTACAGTTTGGCGAGATAATGGAATGTTGCAGGACTCCAGCTTTCATGGGTAAAGCTCCATATTAGAACTGATAGCAGATTTAAGTACCTAAGCAGATTTCTACTTACAAGTTGTCATGGGTTGCGTTAGGTTTACCCAAGCAACCAACTCCAAAGTTTGTTTTACTAGAGATAAGGCACCTGGCGAGGCATAACTGGGACATATATTTTCCATTAGTGGTATGTTAGCCAGCCTATAGGGGGAGACCAGTGAGACAGTGATGTACTGTTCATCGCCTCACGCCCCAAAACCTCATTTTAAGTAGTATCCCCTAGGCCATGGGTTAGTTAAGACATCGTCCCCATCCTCTCCTTCCTGAAGGGTATGGGACACCACACAGAGTCCTCCACCGCCACCCTGTCCTGTGGACCGTCGTCGACATGAGATTAAGTGTGTTAACCTAGGTTTGTTATCCCGTGGAAATATCACGTGTGGATGCCTGGTTGCGACAAAAGCAATCCAGGCTGGCCTATCAAACCTACAGTAAATATTTAATCAATTCACACTTACAGAGTTCTCCTGCACGACACCCGTCTACAGTGACCATGATTGACACGAGATTAAGTGTGTCAACCTAGGTTTGTATTCTCCGTGGAAATATCACGTGTGGAAGCCTGGTTGCGACAAAAGCAATCCAGGCTGGCCTATTGCACCTAAGTGGTTAATTCAAGTCACACTTACCAGTTCTCCTTGCTGCGACAACTGTCTACAGTGACTGTCAGCGACGCGAGACTATGTGTGGTAACCCTAGAGTACTTATGTTGTTATTCCCCGTGAAAGAAGTTCTTGTGCAGAAGCCTGGTCGCAACAAGAGGAATCCAGGCTGGCAGTAAATGTATCACTTGAAGAATTAAGGCTCTGTTAAGTCATACCCATAGTAGAGTAATCACATGTGTCCCCAAGTTGGAAATTCCCTCTTTTAGAAGATTAATTTTATTACAGCGTGAATGTGAGTGAATCATAAATCCATGCAAATTGTAAATCAATGTATGGAAGCTTGACAAATAAATGTAAGTGCAATTATCGGCCCGTATCTGTGATCCTATCTTATTCTTACTAAATGTAATGACTGATTGGTTATGAAAAAGTATAACCAATAACTTGGATGGATGTTGGAAATTAATGGAACTCTTTAAATCATCATTTATCAAGTCTAAATCATGGAATGTCGAGTGGGGGAGTGAACTTCTATTTAGATACACCATAATCTCCTGTAAGTAACCAGTGTGAAGGTATCAAACTCTACGGTAAGAAATATAAGAAACACAATATATTATAATCTTTATATAATATAATCCACTCTTACACCACTACGACGAAAAACCATGACAGAAGTTCTCTGTGACAAAAGTTGTACCTTCAGTTATTTCCTCTTATCTGTTCTAATGTTAACTATGGTAAATTACCGTTTGGGCCCTTTGCTAGATAAGTCTTCAGGTAAGGATGGTCATATGAAGCTGAAAGTCAGTTCATTTGGTAGTCATTCATCAAGATATGCATCAATTTTTTAATCTTTCTTTTTGTTGAAGAGTCCAGGCCAGGCAGAATTAACAGTTAGTGTGCTAATTCCTGAGGGATTTTGTGGCTTTGTTAGTCCATTATAGCCTTATACCCATTCCATAGTCTCTGAGCATCAGTCACAGAACAAGAACAATTAAACAAATGGGAAGCTGATTAATAGAAGGGGCTTGAGCATTCAGGGGAAGATCTCAAGTGGATTCTCTGCCCTTGTAAAATAAAAAAAATAAAATACAGTGGTCCCTCGGTTATCAAACACAGTTTGTTCCAGAAGGTCGTTCCTTAACCGAAATCAGTGTTTCAATGGGATTTTGGGTAATTGGTTCCAGCTCACCGAAAATTACATACAAACTAAAAATAAATGCAGTAAAGTACACTTACTTTGAGGTGTGCATGTAGAAGGTTCCTGGTTGATGATGATAATTGGAATTAGAAGTGGGGGTGGAGGAGAAGGGAGAAGAGAAGGAAGTGGGGGTGGAGGAGAAGGGAGAAGAGAAGGAAGTGGGGGTAGATGAGAAATCACCCCATGCTTCATGCTGCCATTTCACCCATAAAATTTTAAGTTCACTAGGTGTAATTCACGATTATTTTCTTTAAATCAACACTGCACTGCACTATATATTGTTAATATGTTGAATAAATTTCAGAATGACCAATAATTGTACAATACTGTAAAAACGTAAAAATAGTTTATGTTCAAGAGAGTCTCAAGCAAGATGTTACCTCCACTGAGCAGACACACAAACTGACGCCTGCTCGGTGAGTCAAGTGGCTGTTTGGCGCACTAAAAACTAGTTTCCTGTACTTCAATTATGTTCAATAATTGTTAAAATTACTAAAAATTTTAATATAAAACTTTTAAAATTATTGAAGAGTACAACCTTCTTGCTATTTACTCAAATAGGAACGAATTTAAGCCCTAGAACCGATTACTGTATTGGCGGACTAATATTCCAGCTGGTGAGCAAGCGAAAACATGTTGAGAAGAATTCGTAAGGAATTTGTAAATCAAATTTTTTTCGTTAACCGAATTGAAGATTCTTATGGAAGGTAATTCGTTAACTGAAATTTCGTTAACCGAGGCTTTCGTTAACCGAGGCGTTCGTTAACCGAGGGATCACTGTAATAAAAAAATAGAAATTCTCAGAAGTGAGCATCCAGGAATCCTTGGTACCAGCCCAACAACACCACCAAGCAAAAGGGGGATCTAGGACATCTGGAGCATGGTATCTCCTCTTAGGATTATAATGGGGACTTTCAGAATGTAAATCTGGCTAGTTCTACAATCATGGTAGTTCTGAAGATGTAATCCTTTTATCTTCTATCACCATAATTCTTTAGTGTAAGTTTAGGTGCTTTGTTGGGAATACAGGTAGTTCTATCTTCGTGTTCGCGACTGCAGATCCTTCTGCAAACGGTGGTAGATCTAGGGAGCATGTTGGAGTTACAAGGCATTATTAGAGCAGAATCCTTCAACTGTTGTTTACAAAAAAAGCCGTTTTTTTCTAAAATCCAGTTTTCTCCTTAAGAAAATTAGTTGAGATTTGGGTTGAAAAGATGGGTGAAACAGGGTTGGTAGTTCCGTTAAGTCTTGGCAGGTTTGTAAAGTTCTCGGTTGGTCTTATTGAAGCTTGTCTTTATGGTTACACATAATGCTGATATTTCAAGTTTCTTGACAGAATCACTTAAAGATTCTTTTTAGAGGTAATATGGGTCACCTTAAAGGCCTTTCCATGGTTATGTTTGTTTAGTCAAGCCAAAATTTAAACTTTTTTGGTGATGGATTTACTGATTTGAAAGTTAAGGAATATTAAATAATCTGTTCACAATTTAGTAACAGATATAGTAAGTGTGTAGGCCCCAGGCTTTTCATATAAATCAATCTATTAAGACATTTATAGACTTCTCTCAATCCTTCTATTTTAATTAATCCTCTTGAGCATTGCAAGTATGGTTCATTTTTGGGTGTTTTCAACATCCCGGGTTTTTAGGACACAATCAGTACTTGTACTGGGATCCCGGGACTTACCGTACTGGTTTATGTAAAGAAGGGTACAGTACTATATTTCATACATGGTTTACATAAATAAGGGTACAATATTTCATACATGGTTCACGTAAATAAGGGTAGCATATTTCATATATGTACCTGGGGGTATATGAGGTTACACGGCATAGCATACAATTTTCTAAGTTAAAGTTTGACATATACAGTTATGGTAATAATTTTTTATAAGCACTACTGATGAGAAAGCTGCCTCACAGATATATAGGTGTTTCAAAATTGTACCAGAAACTTGACAGCTCGATTTTTACCTGCTGAATGTCTCCTTCGATAAAATAATCTAAAACTTTGATATATCATCATACACGTCGAAATTCACCCTTACCTCATTGTCAGACTGTAATTCTGCCATTCTGAGTGCAAAAGAGCAATTTGTTTTACATCTGTCTTGAACGGAAATTGAACAAAATCA